CTACACCTTGTACAACACTCTTAAACTGCTCAGTCAGTAGCAAAGCCAGTATTCCCTCTTTGCTTTCCTTCTACGTATGGAAACATTAATGCCAGTAAAAGGATAAATAAGGTGTGAGAAAGCATCAACAAAATGTTGGATGAGTTTTAGTTTCAGCTCATTAATCATCCGAGTTCCTTCAATGACACAGGCTTTTGCTCTCTTCATGGCTAAAACTGTATTCTGCGCTCATACCTGAATGTTAAATTTGGCTGTGGCTAATAATCAACCCAGGGAGAGCACACTGATTTAAACAGATGGCTAATGATTAATGGACAGTGGGCTTCTGGGGCCACACCAGGTGATGTGACTTAAATTAGCTTTTGTATAAATCCCTAAGACGCTGCAGTGGTTTCACATCACATACATTTACACAGTAATGACAGAAACAATCACATTGGTGCACAAAAACCTCCAGATGCTTTGGCAGCACTTTTTGAGGTTAATGAAAAATATCTTTATGTAAAACAAAGTCCAACAACAACTAAAGTATACAGATAATCTGTTTGGTAGTTTAATTTCTTTGAGACTACACTGAGAAAGGCTTTAAGAAGGAGGTTTTCTGCCTGCTTTACTCTTCATACTAAAGCCATTTAAAGTTTGCAAAGACATCAGAAGTCTAATCATTTAGACGTCTACCATTCTTAATTATTTAAAGGTTTCACTGGCTACCATGTTGATGGAAGAAACTATACGTGCCTCCTTTTAAAATAAACCTCAGTGGGTAACACAGTGGCGCGGTTGTTAGCTCTGCTGCCTCACAGCAAGATTGTTCCAGGTTCGAGCCCGGGCCAACCTGGAATCTGCATGTTCTCCCTGTGCCTCTCTGGGTACTCCCACCATGACCCCGTTTAGTAATAAGCGGTATAGATAATGGATGGATGGTGCCAAAGGACCGTCTCTGTTGCCAGATGGATGGTATCAACAGTATAAAGCTCTTAGACTGTCACTTTCTATCAGCACAGCACAAGATTGTACTGTGGAAAGAAACACAAGGGAGGAACAAGACCCTGAAAATGAGCAGAGTGCTTACATTGAGTGATTTAATTACTACAGCACTGTAATATAGTGACACACAAACAACTGCACACGGCAAACTGTCACCATTATTCCGGTGATGTGCTCATTCATGCACCAGGATTATTTTCACTGGGGATTTTCACACGGTGAAAAGGTAATTTGTGTCTGAGCAGCCTGTCAGCAGTCAGGGCTCTGGGACATCAGGCTCTGTTATTATGTTTCTTGGCAACATTTACCATTTCAGCTCCTTTATAATCAGAGCAATCATTTTGAGGCGGCTCCCCAGGCAATGCAGTCTTTGATCAAAAAGTACATCCTATTGTATTGAGTTGTACAGCAGTAAATGGGCATGCTCATCTAAACCACATGGGGTAATTTTTGCACAATGAGTCACAGCATCTGTGGTAATTTCATACCCAGTCCTGACAGCTTTAATGCAAAGCACATTGTTCTCACTGGAACAGTCTGTCCTGGTATTGGCAGTTTTTGATTCACATCAACCAATCAAATCAGATACCAATCATCTGGGCTGCAGTGGCCATTTCTTTCATTATACTTTATTAATCCCAGTGGGGAAATTATTTTAACCGATTGCAGCGTTGTCAGTCGCTGCCTGACCAACAAGGGCAACAAGTGGTTCATCGTCTTATCCAAGGACATTTTGACATGTGAAGGGAATTGAACTGCCAACCTTTCAACTGGGAGATGACCTCTTTACCCCCTGAGCCACAGCTGCTATCAGCATTAAAGTACAAGATGGACAAATGAACCCTGTGGAGATCACAGGGACCCTCAAACAACATTCATCCATCCATCCATTATCTATACTGCTTACTCCAGAACAGGTCACCAGTCCATCACAGGACTGATATGTAAACAAACAAACAAACACACACACACACACACACACACACACACACACTCCAAGGGCAATTTAGAGTCAGCAGTCAACCTAAGCTGCATGTCTTCTTTGGACTGTGGGAGGAAGCCGGAGGACCCGGAGAGAACCCACGCAGGCACAGGGAGAACATGCACACTCCACACAGAAAGGACCCAGGTCGGCCAGGAAGCGAGCCTGCCTTAAGGTGACAGCACTAACCACTGCTCCACTGTGCCACCCCTCAGACACAACAACCAACTCTATTTCCAGAGATGCATGAATTATGTTAATGATCCAAATGAACCAGTGCACACAGTGACATGCGTTCAGAAGGATTCAGAAGGTAAACAAATGAAACAGTCACTTCTACAAGACTTTCAGGAGAAAAGGGGGGAAACTAGTGTCAGATCACATACAGAGGGCAAAAACATTAAAAGTTTCCCATGGGAGTTTTATGGGTGTATTGCAGCTAGTGATCTTAATCAATTAGTCTTTCTGCCCTGTGGATGTGTGCGTGCACACGCATGATTGGACCGAGCCAGAGCGACTCGGGCGTAAATCCAACTTCGGGCCTGTGTGCAGCACATAGCAGGCAGAGTACACCAAAAAGGCACCGTGCCCACCGTACAGTTATGTCCGGCAGTGTGCGTCTGCAAAGTGACAACCTCCGCCAACCGGGGCGCTACGGTGGTGGCGGAATGGCACAAGTCAGCAGGATTACACCCAGCCTCCTGCACAGTACAGCCCGTCTGTATCTCGGCTGCTGATCTGACCTGATCTGTCAAACCAGCACAGGATACTGAAGCTAGCACGGTGTAAACGGCGTGCACACCACGCCGTGGACATCGTGCGGGTAGACGCTTGATAAGGACACTCACCATCGGTTACCCCCACGTGCTCTGGACACCAGTTATGGGAGGTTATTGGAGCAATAAAACGAGAGAAAGTCAGCGGGACTCCTCCGGCTTCTGCACAAGTGTAGCAGCAGCGCTGGATGGCAACGCGACCCCTCGCTCCGAGCCCGCTCCTTCGCCAAGCTGCTGCGCCTCGTACCGTCAGTGCTGCTCCCAGCGCGCACAGCTCGCTCCTCGTCCACCTTCCCACAAAGCTTTTGCGTTAAAGCGAGTAGTTTGTTTCTCCTTTTGCTATCTTCCAGATGCGATTGGATGAGTTGCAACGACAGAGGGGAAAGAACCAAAAAAGAAATCCTACACGGTCGCTCCTCCCTCCGCTTATGTAGAGTACAGTAAGGGCAGCGCTCGGCTGCCTGAGCGCCTATCCAAACTATCTACCGCTCTCTGCAGGGCCACCACATACACACACGCACGCACACACACGGTGGGAGAAATGCCTGACATCCTCTGCTGTCCGTATTTATTGGCTTCATCATCACTGCGCCCCCCCTGGGAACGCCAGATCAGTCCACCTTGTTTGAGGTAGATAGAAATGAGGGGAGACGACTGGACAATTAAATATACTTCTTCCACCACTACCAGTAGTCAGGAAACAGAAAACTGAAAATTCTTTTTGTCTATTAACAATTTAAGTAATTGATCAAGGACAAATCTGAGATGTTTTACATCAATGCATGATCAACCGATTAATCAGTATTTCCGATTAGTGCTAAAATAATTAGCCAATTAATTGAGTCAGTTACCAAGAGATTATTGAACAGCTTTGTTTATTGATCATTGACTGAAGTCATTAATCAAGCAAAATGCCAAACATTACCAAGGTCCAACTTCTCATATTTGAGGAAATCATTGTAAACTGAATATCTCTGGACTTCATACAAAATAAGCAATTTGCGATATGTCTGCAGCCAGCCATTATTACTGATTACTCAGCCAATTATCCTTTAGTCAGTTATTCATTTAGGCACTAAAATATGTGAATACAGTGAAAAATGTGGGAGCTGACCAGATCTGGTCCAAACCAAAGACACTAGGTGTACAGTGAGGGAATGAAAACTGTGAGGCTATAAAATGAGAATTGATAAATGTCTTAATGATTAGTCAACCACCAGAGATGTAGGTAGTTAATGTTGTTACGATTGACTAGTTGAAGAGGTCACCTTGAGCTCAGAACACCTGTAACAGGCAATTTTCACTGCTTCCTGAAGAATCCATGAATAAAAAACTGACAATAATGAAAATAATTAGCTGCAGCCCTACAGTTAAAACAACACACTGGGCGTGCCATCCTGTGGCACATATGACATTTGACTTCATACCTACTATTTCAAAGACAATTAGTAAAGAAAGCAATAAACTTCTCTTTGTATTTAATATAATGTTGCTTAATTTGTGACAGCTATTTTGTAGTACATATTGAATATTAATGTAATTTTTAAGCAAAGCTTTGCAACATGGTGGTCATCATGAGCTAACTGTAAGCAGGGTGGATCAGGTTGATCAGTCTAAATTACTCCTGGTTTGTTTCACATCATTTCCCTTATGTAATGGCTACCTACCAGCAAATCTATGGCTGGAGAGACAGAAGTGGATAATATTCCTCCATCATCATATCTGCATTCCAGCTTAAGTTGAGAGATAATATAAAAAAAGTATAAAACAGCAGCTGGAAAAACATCTTTCGCTCTTGAACCATATAGTAATTACTGTAATTGCTTAATACAGGCTGCACGCTGACATCTTCATTCTGAAAACATCTACTGATGTCAGTGTAGCTGAGGCATCTGTCAGCATGAGGCTAAGTGAATATATATATATATATATA